CAGGTTGCGGGTAGTATTTTTATTTTGCCGAGCGGGAGATGAAAACGCCACCGTCAGACAGCTGTACCGCTGCGTGATTAAGCAAATGTATTTTTAAGTTTGGTGTTCAATTAATAGAACAGTGAGGCTCACGCATGCATGCACAATTCTGTAACACACCGGCAGAGTGAGGTCTGTCGACCTTGGTGTCGGGAAGAGTCTATTTGCACGGAGGTTTCGAATGGGAGAGTCACCTTCGCGCCGCATCTTGTCCTCGGGATGCGGGATAACCGCTGATGGAGCGACGACACCGGGTGCTTTCAACGTGGCAACTCAAATGGTAAAGTGTCCAGAGAAAACCGGTATCAATGATCCCAGCCATTACAGCACCTTGCAGTGGTGTTGGTGCGGCCGTCTGACATATATAAGATTGACTTCCTGTTCTTCAAGCTTCTCGACCTTCCCCTCGCAACCCATGTGTCTCGGGATCTTCCGATGCATACCTCTTGTCACCAAGTTGAAAAGAGTGTGAGTATCCCGGACCTCCTGTGGAGACTGTTGATTCAATTCATGTCCTTTAATTAGCATTCAGCTTCACAGTAAGCACCTGCCTATATTGATGCTGCCAAACCGGTGTATTTAGTCCTTTATCACAGGTATCCATGTCACGTCCTTGACTAACCCCCATGATGATGTTCCGGATGACACAAAAATGTTTGCCCAGCTCATCATTGAGGAGAATATTTTCCGGCAAGTCTTGCCGGTGGCATCAGAGCACGATCAAATGAGTTGGAAACTTGGTTTTGAGTGTAACATGTGAGTATGTAGTGGTCTTTGCACAAGACACTTAGGATTCACCGACCCCCACTTCCTCTCAGTCCACCCCATGCTCTTACGTTTTCAGTAGCAGTCTTGCGCCAGAGTGAAACTGAGGGAACACGGCTGGTCGGCTATGTTGAAATCAGGCGAGGTAAAGTCCTTCGATTGGTGGAATCAAATAGGTGTAGGTGCAGTGACTCTTACTGTGAGCACAATTACTGAAGGTCATAATGTAGCATTCCTGCTCCAGCTCAATAAAGTCAATGCCGATGGCCCTACTCTTGAATTCAGTGCTAGTTTCTCAGTTTTGGAGTTGCCATACCAGGGGATATCTAGTTTATTCATTGGCATGCCAGAGAATACAAGTGAGATTCCCTACATATTGTTGGACTACTCTTTGAGTCATCTACAGTTGTCTCTGTCAAGGGTCAGGGCATAGCAGATGAGCTGCAGAAGATGTATGAAGATGCCAGGAAGAGCCAATTTTCTATGGATGTTTCACAGCTTTGGATGATGCATGAGAAGCTTCTTCTCTGTAAAAGTGATGAAACTAGGGCACAGTGGCTCAATATGCTGGGGGAAATTCTTTTGCGGTCTTACCTCAGATCTGGGATTGTGGATGACCTCAACCAGGCAGTTTGTGCATACAATGATGCAGTGCGGGATGACCCAGGGGATGTCATCTATCTTGCAGATCTTGGAAGGGCTTTGCAACATCGCTTTGAGCGGCTTGGTAGCCTGCTGGATATCAACCGATCTGTTGTGATTCTTGAAACTGCTGTTGCTCTCACTCCAGATGGCCACCCTGGCAAGCCTGCAGGGCTGAATAGCCTTGGGAATTCACTCCTCAGTCGCTTTAAACGACTTGGTGGTCTCGATGATCTCAACCAGTCTGTATTGAGATTTGAATCTGCTGTTACTCTTACTCCAGATGGCCACCCAGACAAGCCTTCACTGCTGAATAACCTTGGGAATCCACTCCTCCGTCGCTTTGAACGACTTGGTGATCTTGATGATCTCAACCAGTCTGTATTGAGGTTTGAAGCTGCTATTACACTCACTCCAGATGGCCACCCAGACAAGCCTTCATCGCTGAGGAACCTCGGGAATTCACTCCTCCGTCGCTTTGAACAACTTGGTGGTCTCAGTGATCTCAACCAGTCTGTATTGAGGTGTGAAGCTGCTGTTACTCTCACTCCAGATGGCCACCCACACAAGCCTTCACAGCTGAATAGCCTTGGGAGATCACTCCTCTATCGCTTTGAACAACTTGGTGGTCTTGATGATCTCAACCAGTCTGTATTGAGGTTTGAAGCTGCTGTTACTCTCACTCCAGATGGCCACCCAGACAAGCCTTCATCGCTGAATAACCTTGGGAATTCACTCCTCCGTCGCTTTGAACGAGTTGGTAGTCTCGATGATCTCAACCAGTCTGTATTGAGGTGTGAAGCTGCTGTTACTCTCACTCCAGATGGCCACCCAGACAAGCCTTCATGGCTGAATAACCTTGGGAATTCACTCCTCCGTCGCTTTGAACGACTTGGTGGTCTTGATGATCTCAACCAGTCTGTATTGAGGTTTGAAGCTGCTGTTAATCTCACTCCAGATGGCCACCCTGACAAGCCTTCATGGCTGAATAACCTCGGGAATTCACTCATCCGTCGCTTTGAACAACTTGGTGATCTTGATGATCTCAACCAGTCTGTATTGAGATCGGAAGCTGCTGTTACTCTCACTCCAGATGGCCACCCAGTCAAGCCTTCACGGCTGACTAACCTTGGGAATTCACTCCAAATCCGCTTCAAACAACTTGGTGATCTTCAGGAATCACAGCAGCTACTACTTCACTATACTTCAGCTGCATGTTCAGCAACAGGCCCTGCCAGCATACGATTTGATGCGGCCAAAAGGTGGGCAGAACATGCCCACATTCACCAACCCTCATCTGTGCTCCTTGCATATACTACTGCTATTGAACTTCTGCCTGAATTGGCATGGCTGGGACTGTCCATAACCGATCGGCATCATCAGCTCTTGCAGGCAGGCGAAGTTGTGAGAGATGCTGCTTCAGCTGCAATTGCAGTGCATGACTATGAAAAGGCAGTAGAGTGGCTGGAACAGGGTCGTTCAGTCATCTGGGGTCAGCTTCTCAATCTGCGCACACCAGTAGATGAATTGAGGAAGAGCTATCCCAGCCTTGCCAATCAGCTTGTCTCTCTCTCCACCACATTAGAAACAGCTGGCACCCAGAGCAATGATGTTGTTGCTGCTATTGACTCACAGTCACTTCAGTCCATTGCACAGAAATCTCATGCCCTTGTTCTTGAAAGGAATGATATCCTACAACAGATCAGAGAGCTGCCAGGGTTTCAGAGGTTCTTATTATCAAAGCCAATTTCTGAGCTCTCGCTCGCTGCAAACATTGGCCCTGTTGCCATCTTGAATATCAGTGAATATGGATGTGATGCTCTGGTACTCATGCCAGGCCTTGGAGACGAAGTCATCCATGTCCCACTCAGTGACTTCACAATCCATCAGGCACAGGCCTTGGCCAAACTTCTGGCATCAATTGTGGGAACTCCTGGACGCAGTGATAGGTTGGCTGGCTCTCGCGAGGGAGATATGACTCCAGATGATATCTTTTCCCATATTCTCTCTGAGCTCTGGTTTAAAATTGTTCGCCCGGTCCTGAATGCACTCGCAATTACGGTAAGCTATTTTTAGTCAATACATCCAATTCCCATTCCAATGATTTCCATAGACTCCAGTGAGCCAGGATTTAGGACGTATATGGTGGTGTCCCACAGGGCCACTAGCATTTCTTCCTATCCATGCATCCGGACTCTACGGTGAAAACCAAGCATTTGGCTCGAAATTATCCGACTTCCTGATTTCTTCCTATACACCATCATTGACTGCCTTAATCCAACGGTTTCATCCACCATCTGGATCTCAGGCAGACCTTAAACTACTTGCTGTAACTCAGCCATCAGCCCATGGACAGGGCTACATCCCAGGAACTCAGGAAGAAATCAAATGTATTGAGCAGCATGCCAAGGGAAAAGTTCCTGTTCTGTGGTTGGATCAAGATATGGCCACAATAGAAAATGTTCAGAAGTACATGAAGGATTCCAGATGGGTACATTTCGCCTGCCATGGTGTGCAGAGCACCTCTCCAACTGAAAGTGCCCTCCTCCTTGCTGGAAGTTCACGGTTGACACTCTCGAGAATTATCCAGCTATCTCTCCCAAATGCAGACCTGGCATTCCTCTCTGCATGTCAAACTGCCACCGGTTCCCAAGAGCTCCAAGACGAGTCGGTTCATCTCGCTGCTGGCATGTTACTAGCGGGATACCGAGGTGTCATTGGCACGATGTGGTCTATCAAGGACAATGATGCCCCACAGGTTGCTGGTGATGTTTATGCCCATCTATTGGAGGCATCACCTCCAGATCCGACGAGGGCAGCTGAAGCGCTGCATCTCGCCGTTCAGAGGCTTCGAGAGCAGCCCGGAGCAAAGAAATCATTTTTACACTGGGTGCCCTTCATACATTTTGGGGTTTGACTTGGGGGATATAACAACTGTGTAAGATATGGGTAGATGTAGTAGTAGTTTGTTAGTAGTTCCTGTTTCTGTAGGACCTCTTGTGAGTTACAGTCTTGATTTTATTTGACAGAGTGTTAGAGGTTCCGAGTTACAACCTCTATGACAAGCCTTATGTATATCATGTCCGATTTGCAGTTTGTGTATTGCATCCAACCTCAGAAGCTTTGTGACTGGAAGAACAAAATGCCAGAGATATGAACTTGTCACTTCCCTCAACCGGAAACCAAGTCAATTGAGCACTCAGGACTCAGACAAAAAAAAAAACTCGCAGGCTACTGATTCCCAACCTTCCTGAGCAGCACTCTCCGCAAATTCACACCAAAGCAAGCGAAAAATTTCGACTCAAAATCTCACATAGACAGATCAATAACAACACCAACCTCTCCCAACTGTGAACCTAATACTCCATGATCAGTACACAGTGCTGAGCAGTTTCTCTGGACAGGTATGGCTGAGGCCTGCCTTGGCATGAGCAGCAATTCTGCAGGCAGGGATTTTACAGTAAGAGAATGAAAAGGGTGTTGCCTTGGGCGGTGGGTTTTTCTTTATTTTAAAAAATCGGAAAATGAGAGAAAATAGCAGCAATGCATGCCTATGCCCTTGGGGGGGTTCGAACCCTCATCCCTGCTTGAAATTCACGCTTAATTGTTATTGAGAGATGGTGATCTACCATTGATCTACAAGGGCTGCTCTTCTAATGCTGAGATGTAGTCCATGCCACACAAGCGAGAGGACAGGACAGACTTGACACAGGAATGATCGGACCTGGCAAGAAGTTGCAGACTGAGGACTATTGCAGACTAATATTACCTCACTAGCACACTGTTCAGGTGCGGCACGATATATGGGTACACTCACTGCTACTAGGCTAGTGGTATCTCCTCTGAAAGTGAAATCTCCCAGAATCCACCCCTGTCCCTTTTACCGAGTCTCCTTGGCAGCCATCTGCTGATCAGGTGGAACAACACCTACAGTATTGATCAGTGATGCCTGCTGTCACACATCACAGTATTTGTTGTTTCTCTCCTTCCACCTCCACCGTCATCCGATGCCCACACTCCTTCACAAAACAGATTCTCATCCAACCGCTGCAGCCGTCCTCTTCCTGCTCCCCCCTCCCACTACTCGCTCTCGCATCTTTCCTCCTATCCACCTGTCCGAGGGAAAGTCCTTGTGCGTAGGTTCGTCAAAAGGGTCAGTAATCCGGCACTGGTGGAGTGATTTTGGAAGAATAATATGGTGGAAAGCCTCATGGCTGGAGTAGAATAGACCGTCAACAGGAGAGTGTCAATAGAGTAGGGAAATGGGGTAAAAATAGTGCAGCATCGTGGGTCGGAATCGAGAGGTTTGGGTAGCTGAACTGCCCACTGATGACTTTCAGAAGACTGAGGGGTGAGGGCTTCATTGAGGCCTCTGGGTGAAAACGCTACACTGGTCACGAAGGAAGAGGAAGGAAGCAAGGTATGTATTGCATGGTGTTTGTGGGTTCATATTTACAAACAAACAAATCATGTAAGCTAAATAGGGGTAAAAGGTAAAGTGCGAAGAAAATCTAAATAAATCCTACTTTCCACATGTGGGCCATCATTCCTTATTCCACCCCCACTCTAGTCTAGATTTAGTTGTGCATCAATAGCCGTGAGTCAACCTTCCGCCGCACTTGTCATATTGTGTGCACTGCATTTGCATATGACCTAAAAACTCTCAGAAGAGCTCGGGAAGCTTTCTGAGCACCATATTATATGTTCATAGTAATTTATTTCTTCATGATCCCTTCACAAACGCAAATTTCGCAGCTCGCATATCGTGGGAATCTGTGCACAGCCACTCTCTCGCCCATCCCAAAATGCAACAAAAAGGTATTCCATTCACTCAAATTTCCAGTTCAAGAGTTATTTTCATCGGGAGATCGATTCTTAAGTCCAAATACATCTCCTCCAGCCCACCAACCAAGGCCTCTGTCCCACTGAGCTTCAGTAGAAAATTGCCTTTTTGAGCATTTCCTTATTCGGAAGGGGGACTCACGGCTTTTGGTGCACAACTAAAATCAGACCATTAAACAGGTTTTTCCACCACCCAAAAAAAAACTTAATGGTCTGACTAGGGAGACTACCCCCACTCCCATCTTCTGTGCACCCTGTCACCCATCTTTGGTGCAGCCTGTCACCCATTCCTCGTCGACATAACACACTGTACATTGATTGCTGTCCTGTCGGCTGGCCCCTCCTCGGTCCCTTTCCCTCGTCCCTCCACATCATACTCACGACGATCACCCTCCTATGCTGCTTGTCATCCTCTCTGTGAGGAATATTCAATTTTGGGCGAATGTTCTGGAATCATTAGCTAATCATTGAGGATATATAAGTAGTGTAACTCCGCTTGTATCCTTATGTGTTTGCAGAGCTCAGCCAAACACAATATCCTTGGTCATACTTTCCTGGTCCCGAGCAGAACCCTACCTCGGATTATTTCAACACTCTCCCCCATTGTACATTGTACATTGTTCCTTCCCTACCTCTACTGTGCCTCGATCATCTTCTCCCTCATCTTCCACACCCCCTCACTAGCATCCCATCTCTCCCTCCTCCTCCCCTTATCTCCTTGTTGTCCCTTTCCTTGCATCCCCTTGTCCCCCCCTCCTCCTCTCCATTCACTCTGCACTGCCCCATCTTCCATCTTGTAACGGCCATATACCACTTACATTCCCTTTTATGATTACTCTTCAACTAACTACTATTTACACATATTTTTCTCTTTTATCTCGATGCATTCACATGATCCATTACATAATCCATGTACTTATAGCACGCCTCAAGATCAATATCATTACCTTCTTACCTTAACCCATCTAATGACCTAACGTTCATGGTCTTGTCTTAACAGCAGCAATGCACTTGGCCTGCAGGTGTTCTTTAAGTGTATTCCTGCTACCTTTAGGTACAGGTTCTTATATAGCGCCCCATCAAACGCTTTTTGGCGGAGCATCACATTTTCGTCAGCGGTTTTCGCGTCAGCGTCTTTTTTCTCCGCCAAAAGGGTGCGGGCCGGCCCTCATGCCGTTGATGTTATGCAATTCTGATTATCATCTTGCTCTTCGAGACCGTCAAACTTTGAACCAGAACATGGACATAACATTTCCACTGAGATTCAGTGGGATCTGATATCTGCACACTTTCGTTCTCAACCATATATATAATTTACGAGGTGGGCTGGCGGCAACCAAGCGAAACTTTGAACCGCTCAATTGAATCACTTTACAATAATTTATGGAAATTTATAGCAGTTCCAAGTTGAATCCACTGGGAATAAGATTTACTTATTTCTTAGCAGAAAATATTTCACAGCGATTTGAACAGTTGCACATGGTACAGTCTTTCCACGGTCCTTGCACGAGCTTTTAAATGTTGGCTTTTCTCCGTCAAAATTCAAGCTCCACGGCCTGGCCAAAGTATTCAGAGGACGTAAACGAAGGCATAGATGCCCAAACGACAAAAAGAATCGGAAGAATGCGCCACCTTTTGCATTCTGGGGCCACATCGGTGCAAGCCCGATGTTCGGACATAATCGGTCCTTGCATTTTTGTGCAAAACTCGGCGATACGACCCCAAGGCATGGAAACTTCGGTGGTTTGGAATACTTTAGTGAACAGTTGGACTTTCTATCAACTCATTCTTTTCTTCAAGTCCCAACCTTCCTCACATTCCCTCCCCTGACTCGAGATCCGACTCAAGATCTGAATCTTCCACAGAAAATTCCCCGGATGCATCGGAAGAAATGTTCTCTTCATCTCGGCCTCGCACCCCCTCATCATCTGAAACCTCCACACCACTCATCTCATCGCCGTCTTCATGGAACCGGTCCGGTGTCGGTCCCCGCTTCGGCTTCGCAGGAGGATGTCCCCAGCCTCCTCGTTTGCCTTGCTGTTTCATGCGTTCCCGTTTCTTCTCCCACGCGGTGCGCAGTCTACGATGCTCCTCGTCAATCCGCTTCTTCTCCTTCGCTTTCCACTGTGTTTTCTTGGCCCGATTATCAGCTGTTTTCCGCCTTTTAGCCACCCTCTCGTCGTCCTGTCGAACAGCATCACGAAACTCCTGGTCGGTCCAGATGCGGCCCATTTCAGTCTGAAGGAGTGCTTCAGCATGGCCCCGTTTCCTGCGCTGTTCTTGATTATATAGAGCGCCTCGCTGCTTCTCAGCATACATATTTTGCAAGACAAGTTGGGCATTCTGGGCCTCGATGATCTCCTCGCCCTGCTTGTTCCGCTTTCGCTGATCGCGCATTGCTGAGCGCAAGATGCGGTTCTCATTTTCCACGTCCTCTCTGGTTCGCGGACCACTAGGACTCCGAAGGATCGCATCCCACGTCGTCGGCTGTTCTGGTAGAGTGGGAAAAAATGGGGGTGGAAGTTGATAGGCGGAAGTGAAGGGGTTGTTGTTGGGAACAAGAAATGACGCCGATGTCGATGCCAGACCCTCGAGCATCTCATTAGCGTGGGGAGTTAAAGGTGAGCCCATCATATTCTCTCGTGGAGCAAGGCGCACGCGAGAAGATGAGGCCCGGGGAGTCCCAGAGTGTCCATCGTCCCGACCCGCTTTCACTTTGCCCCATGCATCCAAGACCGCCTGCACCGGGGATGGCTGTCGGATCGGGAAGGCACCAGTGACAGAGAGCTCCTTGGCGGGAGCGAGTTTCGATGGGTCAATAGCATCACGGTTGAAGGGGATAAGACCTGTTTTACGGAACGCTGTTCAGATCGTTCGCTCCGTAAAGGTTTTTCGGTGAGCCGGTGCATAAATCTGCAAGAAATTCCCGCCGTTGGCTTCCTGCCCTGTCCGGCTTTCAAACTCGTCCTTCTCGTGCCCATAGTTGATTTTTAAACCACCGAAACAAACGACATCAAGCCCTTGAATGACAGACGTGGTGTGGGGAAGTTGGCCCATCACCATGATGTTATGTTCTGCGGCAAAATCCAACAACGGCGTGGTGTAGTGGCTCCTGTGCACGTCAAGATACAGAACACGGAGCGAGTCTGACTGCTCTATTGTCTGCTCATGGAAGTTTTTGATGTATGCGACACCAAGTTGATTATTGGTGTAGCCCTTCTTGGCGCGACAGATACTGCAACACAGGGTTCAAATTATGCGCACTTCAAAGAAATAATTGCTCACTTGGCTGCCAGGGGATTGACCTTACCCCAACGCTTCAAGAGCTTGACACCCTTGAAGATGATTGTCGGAATGAGTTGACCGCCGTCTCCGCGGATCGTGACCATGGACGTGATACTCTCCCGGCTGCCCCCTCCGCACTTGTAAGTATTGTGAGTACCACGTCTTCCAATAACTCGTGTTTTGGGTGCATGCCCAATCAAAAACCCCGTCTCGTCCATCGCAAACTGGTGGTCTGGAGGAACCCCAGTGTCAACAACCCGCGTCTTCACAGCGTCGAACCAGTGTTTGACTGTCGTTGGATTGACAGCCTGGGCGCGATCTTTGGTGAGTGATGAGCTCCAGTGATTGGCCAGCGGAGCACACATTGGGGATGCGAGGAAGCGGTCCACCCAACTATCACTCACGCCCTCGTGATTCGGGTCCTGTGTGGCACGGAGGATCTGTTTTGCCTTCTGCTTTAAGAGTTTTCGCTCAACTGGGAGCGCACGGTCCGCCATCTCTGTCAGCCAATCAACCAGG